ATTATCTTTCTTGATTTAAATATTGTGTTTGGTGAAAAGTATAGATGCTCATTTCTTATTTTGAAATTAAAATGTCTTATTCTAAATATTCCATAACTTTCCAGAAGAAAATATGATTTTGATACTGTTCTCCGGTTATATATATATAGTTCATCTTTGTCATCAGACATTTTATGACAAATAAATGTCAATAAGAAGGTAATAATTTAGGAGATATACATTATCTACAATCTTCCTGTAAAAATAACCATTTTCTGATTGCTTAGCATTTTACTGGGACTTGAGATATATTGGGTAGCTGGACTGTGAGATAAACTGACCTTCAACAAAACAGCCCTTTATGGCTACAAGACTGACTTTGAGTTAACCCCACCTTAAATACACTGCAGAAACAAAAGACACTTAAAAAACACCACCCATTGTTATATATACATACCTCACCCAAGTCATCTTTTTTTTTTTATTGTGGAAAAAAACCAAAATTTACCATCTTAACCATTTTCAAATCTACGGTACTGTAGTGTTAACTATAAGCGCATTGTTGTGCAATGGATCTCTAGAATGTTTTCATCTTGCAAAACTGAAACTCTACACCCAATGAATAACTCACTCTAGACCCTGGCAATTATTTTCTGTTTCTAACAGTTTGATTAATTTAGATACCTCATAAAAGTAGAATCACACAGTATTTGTCTTTTTGTGACTGGTTTACTTCACTTAGCCTCATGTTCTCCAGGTTCATCCATGTTGTGTAGCATATGACAGGATTTCCTCCTTTTTTAAGGCTGAATACATATACCACATTTTCTTTATCCATCCATCCATCCATGGACATTTAGGTTGCTTCCAGCTCCTGTCTATAGTAAATATGAACACGAGTATGCAAATATCCAAGTCATCTTTTTTAAAAATTAAATTTACTTATTGTAATAAAAGATTATACTTAAAATTTTGGAAAATGTAAAATCATTAAAATTTGGGGAGAAAATGACATTCACTTAGCTTCCTATCTTTCTCATTCTTCTATTCCTTCTCCCTTGCCCTTCCCTAGACCCACCTTTCCCTTTTCCTGTCCTGCCTCTTCTGCTCCATCCCTTATTTCTCTTTTCCTCATCTTCTTCCTTTTCTCCTTCTCTAACCTTCATCTCCCTCCAACACCCAAAATGTTCTCTTCCTGAAGGCCAGCTCTCATGTGGAAATAGGCTTCTGTCACTCTCTGCCTATGTCTCCCTCATAATCAGAATGGTATTCCTTTACTCCCTATTGTCTTCTAGATAAGTCACAAGTGCATGGGTAGCATAGTTTTAAGTGAATTATATTCTTCATTATTGATTGATTAGGAGCCAGAACTTTATTTCAAAGAACCAGAAGAATTACTTCAAGTCCTCACAGAGCTGGAAGAGCAGAATCTTACTTTGGTCCAATATTCCCAAGATGTAGATGAAAATCTTGAAGATGTAAATAAAAGAGAAAGACTTATACAGGATAAAATGTAAGTTGTTAACAACAAATAGACTTATCCTATTAACTAATTTCTAAACAGAGATAGAGTCCAACTCATTTATGCTTGGTCCTATCTTGTGGTCTCTTTGGATTTAGGATGGGATTTTAATTAATAACAATTTACATTGCAGAGTGTAAAAGGTAGAAGTTATATTTACACAGAATAGGCTCGCTTTAGTTTTAGTCCCTACTTCCTTTCATTTGTCAAAATATTTCCCTAGCTAGCAATAATAAAAGGCAATTTAAAGGATTAAAAAGAACTGAAATGTCACCTACTGCCTTAATTTATTCAATGCAGTTTTCACCTTATCATCTGGCTAATCAAATTATGCTTTGGATGATAATGCTAATAAATGCATTTTCCTCAGCTGTGACTCTCAGTTTTTTTGTGACTTAAATATAATTTTATAATGTAAATATCAATATATCAGGGCTGTTATAAAACGGCTATCTGTTGGGAAAGAGGCTGGATTTGATAACTCACAGAATTCCTTCCAATCTAAAATTTTATATCATTACAATTTTGGAAAATAGCTTTGAGTCACAAAGAATAGGTCTTTATATCTATTCATTATAAAAATGTGTAGAACCTTTTTGGGAAGTCTTCTGGACCAAAAGATGGCAATCTATTTAAATAGTCAAACTACACTGAAGTTCAGAACAAATTAACTTATTCAGAAGTTAAAAACCTACAATCATAACCTTACAGCTACCCATTACGATTACCACATCCTTTTAATCCTTGTCTCCTCTCCCCCAGTCCTCCTGACAATATGATTTGGAGGGATGCGGTGGGTATGGTTGGGCAGGAAAAGGGGATCTACATCAGACTTAATCTCTAGAAGATCTATACTAGAATCTCTAGGTAAGGAGTCCAGGGTCTCTACTTTTCCCACTGGCTCCGCAGATATTCTGATTATCAGCCAGGTTTGAAAACCTTGACATAATAGGTCACGTCACAACTTGGGTTCCCAACACCTCAGCTCTGCCGCTTTCTATGTGGGGGACTCAGTGGAACCACAAAAGAAGGGGAAGGGAAGAAAATGCTTCCTGATGGAAGTTTAAACGCATCTGTGCATTTATTTTTCTCATTTTAACCTGAAAAGTTGCTTGGACTTTGGCAACATCTTTTGGCTTGCTAGTCATAAGATGTTGACATATGATCTGAAGAGAGTGTTGGAAGCTCCTGACTGATGGTTTATTTCACTAAACCACAAATTACCTTCAAGGGTCTCTTTCTTCTTTTGCAATAGAAATACCAACATAGAGTTTCTTTTGGAGCACAAGGAAATGCTTAAGGCTAACTGTGTAAGAGAAGAGGAAAAAGCAGCAGAGCTGGAACTAAGGTCCAGGCTATTCAGTTTTGGAGAATTTAATTCAGATGCTCAGGTAATCATTCTTTGCCTATATTTGGCTCATGACAGTAATAGTTTCCACTCTCTGTGTACTAAGCATTGGAATAGGGAAATTAAGACACACAAGTCCCAGGTTGATGGTAGAGGCAGAAAACTAGCTTGGAATTACCTTGTCAATATATAATAGTCAACTTACACAGTAGATAGAAAGCATTCAAATTGGCACTGGAGTTCCCTTAAAATGTTATAAAGTATCATGTTGAGATTTCCTCCCTATAAAAACATTTCTTTTAGTCAATATACATATTACTATACATATGAAGTAGTTCACTGCCTGTGATCATTTTGGTATTAATTTAAGGAGCAAATAATTAACAAGGGAAGCACTGAATCAACATGAATATCTGCCTAACTTGTAATCGTTTGTGGCCTCTTTGGGGCCGGCAAAGATTCATCATCAGAGCACCTGTGACATACACTGTGCTTATTTCTATTTACTTGTTGGTCTCACCCACCTGGATACAAATCCCTAGAGGGCAGGGACTGTCTTACCCTTTTCTAGTTAGCTAATACAGTGTCCTCATAAAGCAGGTGCTCAATAAATGTTTGTTGAATGAATGGTTAGGTTAGTTTTAAGACCCATAACAAACTCGTTATCATTGGTTCCCTTGTGAAAACCTCAAATGAAATAAATTAAAAATTCATATGTGAAGCTAATATCACACTTATGGTTATGAACTTGATTTTCAGACAGAGGTAGATTTAGGGGAGCTCTAACAGAAGACAACTGTGCTCCTCTACCCAGAGGTGGGCAGGGTCACAGAAAGCAAAACTGTTTATGGCTCCTTCAGAACACACATTTCCTAGAGTGGAAAGGACAGGGTTATGCACTGCTAGGGCAAGAAGCATGATGACAGCCACCTTTCAGTTCTTCAATGCTTTTTTTTTTTTAAACTGTTTTTTTTTATTGTGGTAAAACATATACAACACAAAATTTACCATTTAGCCATTTGAAGTGTACAGTTCAGTTACACTAAGTATGTTTGCAATATTGTATACCCATCACCACTATATTTACAGAGTTTTTCGTCATTTCAGATACAAACTGTACCCATTAAACAGTAATTTCCCATTCCATCTTCCAGCCTCTGGTAACCTCTCTTCTACTTTATCTATAAATTTGCCTATTTTAGGTGCCTCATACATATGGAATCATATAGTACCTCGCCTTTTGTATCTGGCTTATTTCCCTTAGTATGTTTTCAGGGTCCATCCATGTTATAGCATGCTTCAGAATTTCATTCTTTTTTATGGCTGAATAATATTCCATTGTATTTTCATACCACAATTTGTTTCTCCATCCATCTGCTGATGGACACTTGGGTTGTTTCCACCCTTGAATTCTGTTTTCAATTATTCTGAAGCTGAACAACATGAAAAATGTCAGGTAAATATCAGTGGTATCTTCTTGTGCCCTCAACCATGTCCCTTTCATGCAAACTTAGGGTGGCTATGAAAAAAGTGGCAAAAGAGGCAACCAGATCTCTAAACGGAGAAGATAGAATTGATGTGAAAATTACTTTTTAAAATACAATCAAAAATGTATGTCAGATAATCTTTGAGATGTTTTGGTTACATGTGTAATTCTGGCATTCATGTATTCCACTCTGGGAAAATAGGGCTAATAATTCATAGTGTCTCCTAGAGATGTGAAATGCTGGGACAGACAAAGGGGAGGCACAGCAGGAAAACTGGCAGCAGGAAAGTATTCTTTTTTAGAATTTTCCTGCTTACCCACCTCCATTCTTTTATGTATTGAAATGTGCAAAACATAATCCTGTATGAGTAAATAAGCATAGCTGTGCCTAATTTTGATATTATCATAGTTACTTTGAAGCTATAACTATAAAATAAACATTTCATTCTTTTAAAACTTCCACACTCTTAACTGTACCTAATCCTCTAAAAACATTTTTCCTCAATTCAATATTTTACTTTTAAAATACAGCTTTAAATTTAACTGTAATTTGAAAAGTGCACAAAGTGTTAAGTTTATCTCTCAAGGAAATCCCCCCAAAGTGAACACACCATGTACTACCCCCAGAAGCCTCCCTCAAGCCCCCTTCCAGTCTCTGCCATACACCCAAGATGACCATTATCCTTCAGCACCAATTAGTTTACATTTTTTTAACTTTATAAAAATGGAATCATGTAATGCATGTTTTTTTCTCTCAACATTACGTTTGTGAAATTCACATGTTTTGTGCAGCTGATGGTTCATTTTCACTGAACGTGAAATGGAATGTAAGCTATTCTCTTGCTCAATTTACAGAATGTCCTCATCTCTGGATTTACTGTTCGTTGGTATGGGGAGCTACCATCAAGTTCAACTGGGAGAGTTGTTTATAGTCAGCACTCAGCAGAATGTGACATGGATTAAAATTACATTGTCCTTGAGTTGGAAAGGACTTTAAATGTCATCTAAATATCTTCCCCCATCCTCTATCCAATTTGATACAGTTATTCCTCCTAAACTTTGCTCTGGGTAGATCACTTCCCATTCATTGCTGAAGACATCGAGTTCTTACCCAGTATTCAGAGTCTTCCACAATCCTATCCCACAGCACATCACCAAGCAGCAGCTCCTCCTCCTTACAGCCTCTCTTGGCTGCCCCTCCTCCAAGGTGCTCTGGGCTAGGCCTGCCATCTGGTGGCAGCTCCAAGGATGGGACTGATACTTCACTGTCATCAGTAGGCCTGGGGCGTTGAGCTCCTTTTTTACTTTGTCCTTCTGATCTGTTGGGCCAGGTCCTCAATCTCGTTTTCATACAAGGGTATTTTCTTTAACCTCACTCCCCAATCCTATTTCTTACACTGTTCTTATCTTAAGAAAGTTATGTCCCCTTATATTTTCCTCTTTTGTTTGACAGAGGGAACTTAAAAAGAAAACAAGACATCCTGAAAGGATGCTGCCCATCCATCTCTAAAGCTCTTTTTAAGAGTTCAAGAGGTCTCCTCCAAAAACATCCATCAACTACTAATCATTCTCATATTAAAGATATTCTCTCAGAATATATAAATGACTCACATTGTACTAATTTTTTTTCATCCAATGTACAATATTTTAGCCCCATGAGTTACTTTTATTTTTTTCCTTTTTTATTTTTCTGTATATCTAAAGTTTCTAAAAGGAGTGTGTTATTAATATAAACAGGGAATATAATAGGTGTTATTTAGAAAGGGAGAGGAAAAAGCAGCTTAATGGCAAATAGGGCTTTTGCTTTTTTTTTTAACTTTTTCCTTTTATGTTATTTTGTACTTCTCCAAATTTCCTAAAAGAGGCATGCTTTAAATATAAATAGGAAATACAATAAGTGTTAGTTTAGGAGAGAAAAGGGGGGGCTTTATGGTAAATAGGACCATCAGAAAACTTGTTATACTAGGAGGTGGGAGAGACAAGCTTGACTTGTAATTAAGTGCTGGTGGCTCTGGAAGGCGTCTGTGGTTTCAGAAGGGGTTCCCCATGGCTCCTGGAGCCACATCTGTAGAGTATTATTTGTCTTTGGCTTTATGGTGATTATCATCTTCTTGAGCAGACGCAGGCATGGGGGCAGGATGCTACCTGGAGAGCAACTTACTTTGCCCAGCAGTTTATTGAGATCCTTTTATCTGCGAATGCCGGGTACACAATGGAGAAACAGGAAGAGTGTTTTTTTATGGTCCCGAAACATGTTACCTACAAGCTTGAGCAACTCTACCAACAGTTAAAAAGGCGCAGTGGCCAGGTACAGGGATTAAACAAGGTTTGGTTTAAGCCTCTGCTTAGATTAGAATACTGCAATGGCTTCCCAATGGAGAGAGTGAAAACTCCTCAGAAGGTTTTGTAGGCCAGCCTGGGACTCTGTTTACTTGTAACTTTTTTTTCCTCTCAGAGAATGCATTCATTTATTCAGCAAACATTTATTAAGTGCACAGTTACACGCAAGGCGCTGTTCTAGATATAAGTCTAAGAAAAAGCTCCTGCCTTCCAGGTGCTTACAGTCTAGGAGGGAAAGAAAATAAGGCATGTATGCAAATAACTATCATACAGGAATGGAGTTTTAGTAATTAGAGTAGTAAGTGCAAAAAAAAAGGCGGGCTCACACACTGTGCTGCAAGGAAATGCATTGGAGTGACCAAAAAAAAAAATTGAAACATGTATGTTGCTTCTACTTGAATGGACTTCTGATACACAAAAACATAAACATTCAAGCAAAAAGACAGTCTGT